CTGGATCGTAGACAAACAGAACAGGTTGCTCGCTTGGGTGCCCCCCGAGATGCGCGCCGTGTTAATGTGGCCTCGGACCAAACTGCTGATATCAAAGAAGGGATGGCTTCGACCGAACTTTGCCAATACATACCTTGGAGAGTCGTGGGCAGAGTGCTACCGCCCTGGAATACCCGACTGAAATGGGATTGTGAGCACGATATTTTGATTGGCCGCAGAGTACGCCAAAATTTCTATATTAGGTTGTTCGTGCCCAACGACGATTCCACCTTGGGTGTTCATAATATGCAATTTATGTATAGGGTCTGAATGTTGTACGAATTCGCTTGGTTGTCGCGTTTCAGGATATCCTACTGAACTAGGCCGGAGGATATTAGCCCTAAACGGGGGTTCTAACCCAATAACTCGCCGATATATGCGGGATTTTGATTGGTTCTACGTGGCATTTCACCGAGGATTTTGGGTGAGGATACGATAGATTCGATTATAATGGTTAAGCTTCATATAAATAGGAGGGATGAATCGAACAAGGTGTGAAGACTGGGCGATTACTACCTCGGTTAGTAGCTTTGTGAGTCGACTGGATATAATATCCCAGCGAGTGGCTCATGTATGCGTGTGAGTACACCGGGGCGATGGATTTACGATCGCGGGCGGCAGATCGATGAGGTAGTTGGGGACAATGAACTGCCTCAAAGCCTGCATAAATCATGAAATCCACGCACATGATGATGGTTTTGGGAGTTCCATAAGCACTACTAGTGGTGAGATGAGCATCAGAAGACTTGCAGGGTATTTTAAAGGTGTTGGGTACATCAATTTCCGTTCATACAAATCAACAAATCGAGTGATGAAATCACGTCGTGACGTCGGTGCCATTGATTTTTGAGACATTGATATAATACCCGAGTTGAAACCACTTTTCCCAGTGCTCAGGTAGCCCTCTTGCGCGCTTCTGAGACCTGGTGGGTGATGAATTGCCTGGGGAATCTCACTTTAATCCCAAATCGCCACGCCCAAGATGCATTAAAGTAGTCCCCCCCCCAGCTGATTGCTATAGTCATTTTCTCTTTTGTTCAAAGTGTAATTTTAATAGGTTATTTACTATCCCACTGCCATCCAAAGTGACTCGGAGCGGCCAGCGGTAGCTGGTTGCCGGTGATATCTTTCCAAATGCTATATTGCTTGCATATGAGTATCTGACAAGCCCTTATAGCTCAGTGGTAGAGCGCATCACTCGTACAACTGCTTACGTAAGCAAATACTGCACATGATGAGGTCCATCGTTCAATCCGGTGTGAGGGCATTTCCTTTTTAGGCAATTTTTGCGGGGTTTTTTGAGCTAATCCTGGGCTAGAAACATGTGGGTAGCCATAAAACATTTTTTGAGCCGAGGAACAAGCGAAATTGAGCAAGGAAGCTGTAAATTGTAAAAAATGGCTCTGGTTCCTCACTCTAGAGTTCACCCAGGGCCCAGAATTTCTATTCGGCATCGTATCCTTGAAACCCGTAACCCATGCAGCTCGGCAATCTCAAGGGAAAGTAGGCTGTGAAACACCAAGTTCCAGAACCAAGCGAGCACTATTTTTCAAAAGTAATC